CTATGAAGTCCCTGCATTGTGAGTAGTTGAGTGTCTGTGTGAGTCTGTGTATGTATGTGTGAGTGTTAGGGGAAGAGGCCCTGGCAGGAAGAAATTGGGAAAGAAATCATTATGATTGTTCTATTTGGGAAAAAAATGAAAGAATTCAGAAAGGGAGGGGTCTTTTGTGGTATTGAGGAAAAAGTAATTGGCAAAAGTAATGGGCTAACCTCAGGTTTGTTCTGACGCTTCTCCCTCAGCCTCCTTTGCTCTGTTCCCTCTGCCTGCCAATCCCTCCCCCAGATCTCTCCAAGCCTGGTGGTCTCACCACGCAGCCTCACATCAATTCCATGTCCTCAAAGGGGCCAGCTCTGCCCTCCACAGGTCAATTAGTGGTCACTCTTCCACCTCCAACTCTGTCTTGTTACCAGGCTTTTATTTCCTTCATAGTTTTTACTATTATCTGAAATTTCTTTGCATAAATATTATTTACTTTTACTTACCTGTATATTATCCATTAATTCTATAAGAAGGTGGGTTTTGTGAGGGTAGAACTATCATCTCTCTCTGTTTTAGTCCCATATCCCCAGTGTCTACAGCTGGGTCTGGCCTTCAGAAGGCATGTGATCCAGACTGGCTTGTGTGGCTCAGTGGTTGAGCATCGACCTATGAACCAGAAGGTCATGGTTTCATTCCCAGTCAGAGCACATGCCCGGGTTGCAGGCTCGATCCCAAGTAGGGAGCATGAAGGAGGCAGCCAATCAGGGATTCTCTCTTGTCATTGATGTTTCTATCTCCCTCTCCCTTCCTCTCTGAAATAAGTAAAAATATATTTTTAAAAAAAAGAAGGTATGCGATCCATATGCTGCCCAAAGGTCAGAACACATTAACTGTCAACTCCAAGAGGTTGCTCAAGTTATCTTCCTGAGCTGTGATATAGTAGCAAACTGTTCTCGTTCTTGTTTTTTAAAATTTTTGTTAATCCTCACTTGAGGATTCCATTGATTTTTAGAGAGAGTGGGAGGGAGGATCGGGGAAAGAGAGAGAGAGAGAGAGAGAGAGAAATATCAATGTGAGAGAGACACATTGATTGGTTGCCTCCCTAGTCTGCAGTCGAGGTATGTGCCCATGACCAGAATTGAACCTGGGACCTTTCAGTCCGAAGGTAGGTGCTCTAACCACTGAGCAAAACTGACGAGGGTGCCCAACCCCCTTTTTAAGTCTAAGGCTCATTTGATGGGTAAGCTAGACAGTGAATTCTTGGAAAGGAAAGCCATTTATTTTCCCAAATTCATCGTCTGTGCTGTGTCCACTTTGTACGAGCCGGTGGTCAGCCATCTCTACACTTCTGTGCTGACCTCTGGGTGGGAGTGGTACTGGCTGGGAAGTCTGGGAGATGTGAGGAGAGTGAGGAGGAGGGAGAGTTGAGAAGAGAAGGGAGATGAGGAAAGAAATACATTCTAGATGAGGATGGTTAGAAGGCTCCTGGAGGCTTGCCTCACAAACCTTAAGAGACCACAGGAGTTAGGGACACTGCCCATGGACCCCACAATGGCCAAAGTACTGAGTGAAGTGCTGGGTTGATTTCCATTAAATACTAGTAAGTGGACACAGGCTAATTGCCTTTTTCTGAATAAACCAAGACAGTCACGTGGAAAGGCACTTCCTCCCCTGCTTGGATCACACCCTTTAAAAATCCGCATGACACTGACCAGAGTCCAGGTGCTAAGTCCATCCCTCAGCCCTGACCCCTGGCGGGGCAGGGGTAGCTGTCGCTTTTCCAGGGAAGTGGAGAAGTCCTTTTCTGCTCGTTTAGAGTACCACCTGGGCCATTCAAAGCAAAATAAAGTCCGTGTGTGTGTGTGTGTGTGTGTGTGTGTGTGTGTGTGCGGGAACCTGCCATGACTGATATAAATGGAAATTGGATTCATCTTGGGGCTTGTTTGTCTTTCTCCCTCATTCCAGTTGGAAGGATTCCTTTCTCCCAGGAAGCTCAGCAAGGCAGCTCCCAATGGCCTTGATCTCATTTCCAAATTCAGGGAACCCAAGGGGTCACAGATTTATTGGGAGTGGGGAGTGGCATGGGGGGCGTGTCTGCCATGAGCAGCTCAGCTCCGGGCACTTTAATTCCATGTGGAGTTGGCAGGGAGAAGGCCAGAACAGGCCCCCAGCCATCTAATCCCTTATCGCGAGGGCCCCAGCTCCATGCCAAGAACTCGACTTTCTGAGAATGGCTGTCGTCTTGGGGGCGGCTCTCATCTCTGCAGGAAGCCAGCAGGCAGAATGGACACCACCAGATCGAGCCTTCTGTAGCCAGTCCAGAGGCATCTGATTTGTGTGTTGGTTTTTTTTGGGTCCACATAAGCCCCCAATCCCTTCATCAGAACAAAGCCGAACTTGCCCACTCCCCGGCTGGTGAGATTGCTGTCTTAGGCTCCTTGGAAAAAGCTCCATGGTTACCTTTCTTTCCCTTTTCCTTAGATCTTTCTGTTTGTTTGTTTGTTTTCTTTCTCATAAAGTAAGAAAGACCTTCTTCTATTGGGGTCTCCCCGTTGGAGCCCCGGCCTCTCCCTCCTGCCTCGCCTTTCACATCCCGTGTCTGAGGGAAGGAGCCGATCTCCGTGCCAGCGAGTGAAACCTTGGCACCCTCTCAAAGAAACCTGAAGAGAGAAGAGTTCAAGAGGGAGGTCACTTTGTGCGGAAAAGCGCCCGCCACAGACCTCTCCACCAGCCTGTCTGAGGGCCCCTGTGGGTATTGTGTCCTCTACCCATTACTTTAAACAGACCCAAGGAAAAGGTTTCTGTGGAATGTAGGAAAAGCCTAACCCCACTCCCCTCCCATCGTGTCTGCTCTGGATTTGGGATTTTAGTCTCAAAAAGCCCCATTTCCCCTAAAGGCCACGTGACTTCACCAAGCCTTTGCCTGGGAATGCCATAACCACCTGGCCTCTCTGTTCAGGTCTCAGGTTAGTGTTGCTTTAGCACAAATATGTAAAATTATTTGTTTTTAATTTTTTTTTTTGCCAGATACTGGGGAATCAGATAATTAAATCATTAGCCTGTTGGAGTCCAGTAGGGAAGAGACACAAAAGCAATGAACTTACAGGGTGGCGTGCTAGGTGGGTGTCTGTCTGTGACTTAGACTGGAGGTGTCCAGAGAGAAGCTCTTTCCGCCCAGCACCTGGTCCACATGCAGTTGGGGTGGTTAAGGGCTCACGGATCCTGGGGATGGATGGTCCCAACCTTCTCAGACTCAAGGGTAGGGCAGTTGGTGGTGCTGAGACCCAGTTGGTGTGACTATTGTAAGAACAGAGATCCACCCGAATCCCTTCTGATTTCTCACATACATGATGGTGACCAGTTTGGAGGGTGGAGAAGGAAATTTCCATGACGTCATGGGAACAGGGTACTGTCTACTTCCACCCCTCCTTCTCTTGAGAAGGTGATTGGTGAGGACTCCATGGCTTAAATGTCCAGCTCTTGGGTTTGAATGTTTTCATTTTCTCCTGGGAGTAGGAGAGCTTTTTGTGGCATCAGCAGCTACTTTCAGAAGTAATTGTTAAAGCGAGAGGAGATCAGATTTCGGTGGAGCAGTTCACAAGCCAGGGGGTCTACTGGGGGAGTTGAATCTGAAGGTGACATTTTCTCTTGGCACCTGGAGGGAGGAACAGAGATGAGGTGGTGGAGGTTGGCTTTTTTGTCATTTGAAGAAAAAATTAGAGAAATTAGAGAAATAAGCATTTAGCCATTGCTATGCCCATGCAAGGAGGTGAACCAGTGTCCCTGTGTGGGGGTCGTGGCCTGGCACAGGTGACTCATAAACTAAAGTTTCTCTGTTTGAAAAGAAAGTTTCTCTGTTTTCACGATGGTTGGAGGATTCATGTCTAAGAGGTTGGACTTGAACTCTAGGTGCCCATCCAACTCTTAACCTTCTACTTGTCCATGAATTAATCGACGACATTGACTGGGTGCCCACTCCATGTAGGAGGACCCTCTGGGTGCTGCCCCTCTCAGTTGTGGTTGGGAGCTTTCCTCTGGTTGGAGCTGAAAACTTGGACTAGGAAATGAGAGCCATGTGGTATCAGTATTGGGTGGTGGGGTCAAAGGCATCTTAAGTTCAGGCTGGGCAATTATTAATTGAGCAACTAGGTATCACGGGCCTCGCCCAGTGTTAGTGCAGAGCAATGGGGAAGAAGGAGACAAATGAGGGCCTGCCGAGGGCCTGTGTGATGAGGCCGGGCAGAGTTAGAGCAAGGCCTCTGCACCTGAGTCCCCTCCATGCTCTCTCATGTCCGTTACTGTCTGGGGGCTGGTATGTCAGCCGCTGGGGAGGGAAGTTGATGGTGTTGCTGTTATTTGGTTTTGAAGGAGGCCATGACTTTTGTGTAAAACGGAGGTGAAAAGGCTGTGGTCCTTTTGTGTGGCCCTGGCACTACGTCACCCTTCAATTCTCTAAAGGCTCCTGAGGAACTCCTGCCGGCAGACGACCCCGTGGCCTCTCTCCTGGCCCCTCCCTCACCGCCCGCCCAGGCTGCCTTTGTTTTGACATCTTTTTACTCTCCTCTCCATGTTTCCTGTTTTCATGGATCTTCCCCTTCTGCTGTATTTTTCCTGTGTCTGTTAGGTCTCCCAGATGTTGTAGCCACTGGTTATTTTGGTAACTATGTGGGCATCACAAGATCTAAAAAATAAAAAAGACAATGGAAAAATTTTATATTGGAAAAAAACTTTCCATACGTGTATCCCAGGTTGCATAATGGACCATCCCAAGGTTTCCAATGCGTAGCCTGGGTGTTATAATGATAGAAACCAACTAACTAAAGTGCAGTAAACTCAATGGAAACGTTCACAATTCTTTCACATTATGCTGCTTCCTTGAAGCACATCACAGTACCCCGCACATGGTTGGCTCTCATTAAACATTGGCTGAATTAAACTTATTAGGTATCCCTGGAGTTATATTGTTAGGTGTGGCAGTTCACAGACCTTTCTAACACTTTTCTCCACTCGCTGCCATACAGGAGAAAACCATCGATACAGCGATCCAGTCAGATGGTGGTGGAGGCCGTGGTTGTATGAACGTACAGAATAAAGGCAATGCCACAGAAGACATATGCTGCTCGGATGGGGACTCTAATAGGTCTCTGGCACCAGGACGGCCAGCAGCGCCTGGAAATCTGGCCTGAGAAAGGCCTATAGGAAGAGTCTCATTAGTAATTCTGTGTGGGCCAGCTCCTGCAGGTAGGTGAACTCTTTCCTCAGACACCATTTAGTCAGCTCCTCTGCGGGTAGCTGTGTTGGTGGCATGGCTGGCCCTGGAACTCCTCTCTGTGTGAAGGGGTGTCTTCTCTCTGTCCTGACCACAGACCACATGCCATTCCAGAAGGCTGGCCTCCGATGGTGTGGCAGGACACCTTGCTCCTTACCCCCCACTCTTTCATACCCACCGTGGCATGGATCCAGCATAGCAGTTGACATGTAATAATTGACAGAAATACACCAGTCCCTCTGTAGATTTTCCCACCGCTCCATGGGCTAGTAGAGGAGGTATTTTATCTTGTTTGGTTGGAAGAAACTCAGGGCTCCAAGGGGCCAAGTGGCACAGCTGAGAGAGCAGGGGCTGAAAGTCAGGCCTTGGGAGTTCTAACTGGGTCTATTCCTGTTCTTGAGCCCCTCCCCTCCCCTCCAATCAGTGGGAAAGTCTTATTAATTCTATCTCCCAAGTTATTTCTCTAATCCATTTCTTTCTTTCCATTTCACAATCACAGGTGACCCTTACTTAGGCCGATAGTTACATAGTTAAAGAGAAACAGCTCTTCTAGCATTGGGTGTAGACCCTCAAGTCTCTACAAGGAGACTTTCCTAGTGATTGGAGCCAGCCCACTGGTCCTGCACATTCATTGTCATACTAGAGGCCCAGTGCATGAATTTGTGCATGGGTGGGGTATGGCTGGCCCTCCCTGATTGGGGCCATGGGGGCCGGCCGGCCAAGGGGAGGGGCTGCGTGAAGTTGGCCGGCTAGCCCCACCCCCATTGGCCAGTTGGCTGGCCACAGTGCGCGTCATAGCAACTGGTCGTTCTGGTCATTCCAGTTGCTTGATATATACATATACATATACATATATATATACACATACATATATATATATATACACATACATATATATATATATTTGTGACCATAATTCCTGGTATTTTTTCATTACAAGGAAATCTACATTTCCTAAAAGTGAAAAGCTGAAGTTGGTGGAAGGAATGCCATGAATTAAGGGACAAGCCTGATGCATCACTGTATTAAGGGTATAAGACTTACAGATGTGGTGATGGCCTCATGTTTAGTGAAAGCATCCATGTCTGTCATCTCATATACGTAAGAGACTTCAGTGGATCTGCAAAGTAATCAACCTCAGTGAATTATCTAGCTGTGTTGAAATATCTTGTGAGGTGCTCAGGGTGAGATTTTGGGATGTGTGTGCATGTGGCTTTTGTTTTGGTTGCTTGGTTTTCTGCAGCTTCATGAGAAGTATATCTGTAGGAATGTTCCTGAACTCTTGTCGTATGTCCCTGTGATGCTCCATGTTGCAGATCAGGGACATTTTGGCAACAGAAAGAACTGGCTTTTTAATGGTGAATAGGAGACACTTGCTGGAGAACTTCAAGAGCAGAATTGACACCTCTTGGGCTCCAAAAGGGAAGCAGACAGAACACTCCTCCAATTTCAGGATGATAAGAATAGCAGGAGCATTTACTGAGGTCAGGCCCCTGTTCGAAGTGCTTCCTATGAATCATCTCCTTTAATCTGTACAACCACTCCATGAGGTGGACTCTTATAATCTTCATTTTATAGATGAGGAAACTGAGGCACAGAGAGGTTGATCCGCTGGCCCAAGATCACACAGGTGGTGCTAAATTTTCTCACATTTGGGAACACATCTATTAAGTTTTTCTCATATATGATTCTTACATGCTCTATTAATTGAGTATTCCTGGCAGCCATTCTTACACTAGAATCACTAGTAGTAAGTGTACAAGATGTCACAAACCACACAGATACACCCTAAAAAAACCAATCTAACTGTTGGAAGGTGTCTGATGGCTGTCTCTGCAGCCAATCCTTTGGATATTGCTCTGACAGGGACCATCTTCACTTGAGATAACATGAAAAGGCTACATTTGAAAACATTTGTGAAGTTAAGGATTGGATCAAATGACTTCTGCACCCCACCTCTCCTTCAAACAACGTTAGACAGGGATTATTACCCCGTTTTGCACATGTGGGAGCTGAGGCTCAGAGAAATGTTGAGGGTGAAGAATTAGCTCAACAGTCACTTTTTACTCAGATGAACTAATGATGGCCTCTATCAAAAGCACAAATAAGGATCACATTTCATGGCCTCAAGAGGATGGGATGGCAGAGAGCTTATTGCTCCTTAGGGGGAGTTAAATACATAATGATAGGTTGTTGTATTAGTTAGGATTAGTTTTGGCTGCATGTGGCAAAAAGTCCCTACATAACAGTGGTTTAAATCAGATGTATATTTATTTCTCACTCATGTGAAGGTCCAGGTAGGTGGTCCACCAGCGTCAGGACTCAAGTTTCTTCTATTTTTAATTGCTCTGCCATCTTTCACATGTAACTTCTAACTCATGGTCCAAAGTGGCTGCTAAACTCCAACCAGGAGGTCCATATTCTAAACAGCAGGAAGGAGAAAAGGGCAGAAAGAAGACAGACTTTTCAAACACACTTACTGAGAACTTTGTGTATACACACATGCATACAACTTCCACCCCTACCTGCAGTCCCATTGGCCAGAACATGGTCATATGACCACACCAGGATGCAAGGGATACTGGGAAATGTAGGTTTTATTCTGGCAAGCATGTATACAGATGACACTGTGGGGGAAAGGAAGGAAATGATATCAGGGGACAGCTGTCATATCATAGTTGTCTTGTGCTGTATTTTATCATATTTTGCTTTTTATCTCCTCAAGAAGATTGCATTCTCTTTGAAGGGCAGGGATTCTGTTCTGTATTCATCTAGAATCAGAGATATTTCAGTCGGAGAAGGCTGTAGAGATCAACCAGTTCAGTGATTTTTTTAAACTTGTATTTATCAGTATATTTTCTTTTTCAAAAGAAATTCTTTATGGGACCCCAATATGTAAGTCATAAAAGCAACATATTATTAAAATAAATTTCTTAAGTTCTTATTTTAAAATCAATAAGTATTTAAGTTAAAGTATCAAAGGTGTCTAATGTGCTAATATTTGATGCATGATAGATTTGAGTGTGTTTTTTTCCCACTGATTTATAAATAATTTAAAATCCCATTTTATAATGAAATTAAATTCAAGATTTCAGAACCTTTTCAAACTTGAGCTTGAAAATGACCAATCTAGCCAGACTTCTCATTGTATAGCAAGTATTGTGAAGCTTACAGTGGTGAGGTGATTTGGTCACATCCCAGAACTAGGCAGTGGCAGAATTAGACTAAAATCAGCAAGTACGGGCTAAGGTGCCAACATGGTGCCAGGTGCCAAGTACTTGTTATTAAATCCCTTGTTATTGCCTAGGAGACTATTGGGCACAGAGAGGCTATGCGATACATATTTGTTGTAAGAGAATAACCTATTCTTACAGATGGGTTGTGTCCAATTAAGGAGAGTGGAGACCCTCAGGATCACAGTCATTCTTTCCTGTGAAGGAAATAACAAAACTTAACATTTGCTTGGCTCTCTACATATTTACAAAGTGCTTTTAGATACCTTTTTCTCATTTAATCCTCTTCAAAACCTTTTCAAAAATTAGGGCAAATATTTCTATTTTATAGATGAGGAAATTGAGGCTCAGGCTGTTGAGTAACTTGCCCAAGAACACAGGGCAAGGGAGTGATGGAGCCAGGAGTGACATCCATATTTTCTGACTCCAATTCAAATCTCTGTTTCTAATTATCACCCTACCTGTTTGTGGAGTTTTTCATATACTCACTGTCTTTTCCTCTGTTGCACAACTCAGGGGGTTACCATTCCCACTGCAGTCCATGGAGTCATGGTCCAGTATTTTTACATAGACTACATGATCTCCTTACAGTGCACAGGGACAAACCTTGCCCCCTGCCCCATTTAAGTCCTGCCCTCCTCATTCTCCCCGGCTTAATACAGGGTAGGGCTCAGAGTGCTCACTCAGCCACTCCATGTCTTGCAGCAGCAAGTGTGGTGGTGGGATAGGCTCTGATCTGAAGCCAAAGACCTGGGTTTGAGTCTCACCATCATTGATGAGCGATGTGGCCTTGTCTCTCAGAGCCTTACTTTTCTCCTCTAAGAAAACCATAACGGTTGAAGATGCTCTACCACCGTTATGGTTACGGTAATACTTTATGTATCCAGACAGCATTGTTTACATGCTACATGCACCCCACCCTGTCAGCCCATGGAGGGTATAGGTGATAGGACTGGTGAGTGGAGAAGGAGGCAGGTGATAGGAGTGGTGAGTGGAGAAGGATGAAGGTGATAGGAGCAGTGAGCGGGGAAGGACGCAGGTTGGTGCGGTGGGTTGATTTTGTAATGCATTCGAGGAATGATTATGAATATCATGCCATTTCTCCCAGAATCTCATGATCACTACCGTTATTGATTTTGACGCTGTTCTTGGTGAAGACTGGACCCAGATGATTGGCTCCTGGCATGTAGTGTACATTCCTTTTATCATTGGTTCAGTCTGCTACATGCCAGGTATATTCAAGTGACTGGGGATGATATAGCTCCACACAAAATGGTTCAAGTCCTTGCCCTCATGCAGCTTACAGTCCTGTGGGGGAAAGGACAGATAGACCGGAGGCAAAGACACACAGAAGTATGTAATATGGTATAAGGTAGTGAGTGACAGTTTCTGAAGACAGTAAAGCAGAGTAAGGGATTAGTGAGGGGGGACCTTTTGTGTATGAGTGATATGTGTGTAAGTGTGTGTGCACATGTGTGTGCATGTGTTGCAAGCGTGTGTGGGACAGTTGGGAAGATTTCCCTGAGAAGGTGACCTAAATTAAGAGGAGTGAACTGTGTGGTTAACTGGGGGAAGGGCTGAGTTCTTAGGTTCTTGGGAAATGTTTGCCTAATGTTAAATAAATAATTATTATGGATCAGTTCAAACCCACTTTGCCTTCCCATAGACCCATATCAAGCTCAAAAACTGCCAAGGGCCTTTCCAGCATGAACCTCACTCTCTTCTTTATCTGATTGTCT